ACCTGGTTCAGAAGCGAAGACTGGCCACCAGGCTCGGTTAGGCGGTAGGTGTAGTGTTTGTAAGTGGTGTTTAGTGGGGTGTAAAATGTGAGACCTGACTTAGCCCTTTTAATCGGCAGCAGCTCTGACTCCGGCACCGCAACACGGTGTGATTTCCTCCAGCTGCATCACCTCGATGTCACTCAAAGTCTATCTTCCCTTAGCACAAATCTATAATCTAATACGAACGCTGTTTCTCGCAGTTCACAAGGTTTAGCGTTTAACCGACACAAGAAAACATCTCCGAGTTATATCAAATGCCACAAAGAAACTCGTCGACACAAATTAATATTGTCAAAGCACTTCAACCGGCAATCACTACACAATCTACGTAAATTACTTCCCAACGAATTTAAGTTAATCAATCAAAATATTACGATTTCGTTATCGCGTGAACGCACTAAAGATAACCCAACATTAGAAGCGAAAAACTCCAATAAAAAATTCTACGCGTCCGGTCGACCGGCAGTTGTTCACACTATCTCTCGACGCGACTCGATCCACCGACTGGAATGGAATGCGGCCGGGGAGGGGTCGGCCGTGACCTTCGTACCGTACTATGCACGCGCCGAGCCGTCAATTATTAATTCAATTTTCAAAAGGGTAAATTTTGGACTAAACACCAAGCATCCAGTTGTTTATTTAAGTCTAGTAAACATTTGATTGTTATCTTTTCATCACACTTTCAGGCTTTGGATGGATAATTTTGATTATTGATTATGATACAATATTAATAAGCAATATTCGTTACATAATGTTATACATTAGTATAACATTTTAATTGTAATTTTTTTTAAATACTAATAATGCTATTAAACATTATTAATATTCCCTTTAACCACTTCTGGTAAGCTTAAAATGCTTGTGTTAGAAGTGGTTCACGACAGTAGTCTAATGGCGGATTCGAAGCGGCTACTGACGCTTCAACGCTTAATTGTAAATAATAATGAACTACTAAACTTACTAATAGCCTACTCATGCAACGTTGTATTTTTAATACACTTTCAATGACCACCACTTTCTTCAATACATTTAAATGGCAGTTTTCTTAATTGATATTTTAATTTAGAAAGCACCAGTGTCATTTTACACTATGCCAAAAGCGTTCACTATCCTTTTTTTATATCCTCGGCACTTGTCTTACTAAAATAAAGTAATCATCTGATTTGGGAGATCACTGGAAAGCCGTGACCTATTGACACTCATCGCGTGACTAATATTGTTTATATTTAAGTTAGCTTTCATCGTAGCCGCGCCAGTACGAAGCACCAGCGCCGGTATTATGCTATCTCGCTTAATTTAAGGTTAATTTTTCTTTATTTTGTATTGTATAACGGAATTTGTACTTGGAAGGGAAGGCCAACTTGGCCTCTAAAAAGCTTGGCGTGCCCAACAGAGCGAGACAGTATTTCATGCCGGCACATCGCTTGCAACTTTACAAAGCGCAAGTTCGGCCCCACATGGAATACTGTTCTCATCTCTGGGCCGGGGCACCCCTGTGCCAGCTCCTTCCACTTGACCGCATCCAGCGCAGAGCGATTCGAATCGTCGACGACCAAGTTCTTTCTGATCGGCTCGATACACTGGCACTGCGTGTTGCATCTCTTTGCGTACTTTATCGCATCTATCACGGGGAGTGCTCTGAGGAATTGTTCGGACTAATTCCAGCCGCTCAATTTCACCATCGCACATCGCGACAAAACTCGCGTTACCATCCATACCATCGGGATGATTGGCGGTCCACCACTGTGCGATTTAGAAGAAGTTTTCTCCCTCGCACAACTTCATTGTGGAATCAATTACCACCAGCGTATTTTCCGGACTGCTACGACTTAGGAACCTTCAAGAAAAGAGCTTACACCTTTCTAAAAGGCCGGGAACGCATCCGGCCGGCGGCGGTAGTCACTTACCATAAGGCAAAGATGTTTTATAGGTCCAGATACCGTGTACGCGCGCCTAAAACGCTTCCATTTCAAAGGCGCCAATATTGGCGTATTCGTTCGATCGTTCCGCCATTACGCCAGCGACGTTCGCTGTGAACATACGTCACGTACCGGTGTTTTTAATTTCGCAAAATGACTGTTTGTGCTGTGAAATCATTTAAAAATTACTCTTGGAAAAAAGATAAGGATAAGAACATCACTTTTCATGAGTAACTATACAATTTTATGGTGTATTTGTAAAAGAATACGAAAGCTAAATGTCAATACAAGTAATAATACTGCGCAATAATATTCGAGTGTTGCCTAGTCTATGAAATGTTTTTACCATTTTTTAATGTCATGATCAACTACAAAGTTTATCTGTATAGGGGTTTTAAACAGTTTAATTTTACAGATTTTACCCAACCTATAGAGTTAAATCGTTTTAAGGGTTAGGGTTGAACTACATCTGGCAGCATGAAATTGCATTTTCCTGTGCTTCTATCCTTTTTGGTTACTCAGAACCGTTATAGTAGTAACCGGTATAGTTCCAACCTCAAAAAGCCGATTGTAAACCGGTTTTAAAAGTTTATCTATCATTCTTGACAATTCATACTAATATAATATTATAAATGTGAAAGTGTGATTTTTTTGTTTATTTGTTTTTATCCTTCCTTCACGCAGCAACGGAACGGAGCAATTTAAAAAAATTAAACATTTTGCTATCTCTTGGCTGAAGTTTACGCTTAACCAAACTTACTTTTTTTCGTCATTTTACTTAGGATTGAAAAATAATTTAATGTCTTCGTAAAAATCGGCAATATTTTGTGTTCTACCGTACAACAGTGTAGTACTCTGTATATATTTAGTAATAACAGATTATAAATATATGTTACATACATTAATATCTACTGTGCTTTTTTATTTATTTTAACTGTTATATTAATTATAGGTTTTATTACATATCTTCAATATATTAGTGCGATGTTCGTACCTACATAAAACAGACATAAGCAACCATATCCCCATACACACACACACACACACACACACACAGATGCACACGCCACGCACACACATTTTATGCTCTTAGAATCAATAGGTAGGTCAATAGGAATGAAATATAAAATCTCCCACATTTTTTGGGTAATCGATTCGCACTGTTATTACCGAAGTCACGCACATTAATGCAGCCATGGTGCGTAAGATATGCACGTCACGTGGTACTCACGCACACATGAATCAAAGACTGTCTTCACTATGAACGTTGCGGTGTGTTAGCAACACGGTATCTGGACCTATAAAACATCTTTGCCATAAGGTGAGCCGCATGTTCGTTTGCCCCCTATTTTATTAAAAAAAGCCACGTGTAAAAATAATTTTCTTTTTTATGCCTTTTTCACTTGTTTAGACCTAATTAAGTTTAGTTGATATCAAACATCAGTTACAAACGCAAGGACACTTGTTTTTAGTGGGTAACTACGTGTTTTCATTGAAATTGAGAGTAAGTGACTTTTTATGCACAGATTACAAACTTATTGTACTGTTTTTTATAAAAAAATAATTTATATAAGTAGGTACAGCTAAATCACCCTGGAAAACCTTGGCTTTTTATAAATTAAATTTTCACCTAATAATAACATTTGTAAATATCAAAGAATCAAGAACCTTAATTTGAAAAAAAAATAAGGTTTATGATTTATTGATATTTACAAATGTTAAATATTATTTAATGTTATACAAATGTAAAAGTAAAGTCGATCTGAAAACGTCTAATTAGTAAGAATAGCAAAACAAGTGTTTTCAAAAGGAAAAAAAAAACGCCGGTGCTATACGGCGGCGGATTGACAAAAGACTATTTATTAGCGAACTTTTTTATGCATGAACGGTTTCGAACTATTTCAAGCAAAAATAAACCTTATACCATACCACAAGAGCACATGGTACTTCGTAAGTCTATTCGGCCATATGATAGTAATAAGACGGAAGTTCAACCATTTTAAGCAAAATTAAACAATGAGACAAACGCATTGTTTTTTTTTAACAGGAGCCTTGTTTTCAAGAAACTTGTTTGCAAGTTGAGTTTGTGAGCGACCGCAATGAGTGCTATTATTTGTTACTTTTTAGACAATTTTTCCACAACATGATTTAAAAAACCCACAAAGTAAAAAGAGTACCATGTACAAGTTAAAAAAAGGTTTACAACCCCTAAAAATTTCAAGATTTAAAAATATCCAGAACTACTTGCAAAATAATGAATATTTTGATCTGAATAATTTTTCCAAAAACGCAATTTGAGCGAGTTATAACGATTTTTAAAAAGACACGACTCGCGTGTCATACGCCACACACAAAAGTAATCGATGGCACGCCTGGCGTCTTGTAGATACATCGTGGTTCTACCATGTATGAAAATTAGTTTCACAAGATTTCTTAGACTTAAGAAAATCACAGAATATTAAAAAAAAATTAAACAAATTGTAATTTTATAGCTTTATTTCGTAAATTTGATAAAACAGCAAACATAGCTTATTTACCAAAATGTATAGAACAGTTCTGATTACATGTATATAAAAATATAAAAAAAACTTTGAGTATACAACAGTTTTAAAAAATAAAATCGAACACACAGGTATCGTAAAGTACAAAATGGACGGAATAGGTCAGTGTACTTTCGTAGAAGCATCTTTGAATGTATAATCTAAGAGAGAGCACGTATAATTAGTAAATACTTTTACTTAAATATACTATTCTGTAGTGGTTGTACCAGTTTTAGAATTGGCGGACTAATACTTCAGGGAAACCCCGGAAAGTACGTTTAAGAAAAAACGTACAATTTTACTAAACTATAACATGTCTGACAATCTGGTATATTTCTATATATTTATATTATTTATCTTAAGTTTAACAATTAAATATATAAGTTTAACTCAGAATGCCGTGGTTTCACAGCTTCAATTAACAGTGTCATGAGTGTCCGACGACTATTGTGATGTGAAACGGTAACGTAATATAAAAAGGCACTAGCGGTAGCTGGTGTCACGGCAGCGAGCTGAGCGCGAGTGCGAGTGCGAGTGCTGGCGCGAGTGCTGCGGCGAGCGGGCTCGCGCGGCGCGCGGCGCTGCGGGCGATGTTGCGGCGGTGCTTGTCCACCACGAAGATGCGCCCGCCCATGTCTGTGCACACAGATAACAGCATTTTGGCGTTCATGCTAATTCAACTACGTGGCCTACTGGGCCGAGTAACAGCGTCATACTTCTTGTTTGAGTAACGTTTGAGCAAAAATTCAAAAAGTTTGATGATTTGATTGTAGTGATTGTTGCTGAAGCAAACTCTGCATCAAGTAAGATCAACCTTCCGAATTTATCGCTGTGTTACATCTATCATGGTTATGTTCAAGGATGGATTAAGTCTGGTAGTAAACCCTGGGCAGTGCAAGACGTAGGACCCCCTTTCCTTTTTTCTAACTTCATTAGTCCCATGATAGCGAAACTCTTTTCTCCCAGAAAATTTCATGATCGATTATCTAAGAAAATTTCTTATCTATACCTATATAGCTATTTCGCATGTGGCAGATATGAAATATAAAAATCAATGACGTGGCGCAGTGTTTAACATACAACACATCTGGCACTGCAAACGTTAATTTGTCATAGACCAGTCACCAGTTGTAGGTAGTTTATAAACATTATAAAAAATAGGGTATTTTACACCATGTAAAAAAAATCTAAAAATATATTTTTACATAGATTTTTGTAAAAAGTAAACGAGAAATATTGATTTCTATTTATAATAATGCATTATAAATGTTATATTTCAATTTTAAAAATAGTTTTTTTTTAACTGTGCCTTAAATCTAGAAAACGGTGTCCGCCATATTAGACACCGTCGTGACGTCACTGGTTAAGAGAACTGGCTCATGTGCTGTGTTATTTCGAAATTTTTCAAGTTATCATTACGATTGTTGAGTCCGAATTTTATTGAAGAGGTCATGGTCATGGTCAAGGTATCATGGAAGACGGATTCGTAAAAGCAGAAAGTACTAATCTACCAAGGATAAATACATTGATGTTTAGGCCAACATTAAATATATTGAGAAGTGCGTTATAATCGCTTGTTAATAGCTTCGCACGGTAGCGAAGTCACATTCCCCCTCCCGCGCCGACATTCCTTTCCAGCCGACGGACGAGATACGCCTCGAGTCATTGTAAAACGCTTTCGGTAGGAACGGACGTTTTCGGGTTTTATCACCTAATTTTTGGTCACGAACAGAGTTAAAACTACTGCCGCTGTCGTGAGCGGGAACACGTGTTGTTCTTTACGGAATTATAAATTCGGTTAAAGCAATTGTGCAATTTATATATAGAGATTTCGTTGAGGTTCCTTTTTTTTTGACTGTGCCGTTACGGGAATAGACTAAACTAGTGCCTCAAGAAGGGAATTGTTCCGGGGCTACAAGAGACTACCTTCTCCAAGGACAGCGTCGTGTCATCTCGTCCAGGCCACTTACACACAGTCTCATACAAATACCACCTACACTCACTACACTTACCACAGCCTGGCAGATCTTGGTGAACAGTCTCCGCTCTCGAATCAGGTAAGTGCCTTCCTGTTAACTAGTCTCCCCCCTTGATTGGGATAGAATATTTCCCAGTGGCCTTTAGAGGCCCGACCTGCGTCTACCCATAGGATTCCTTCTTGGGCCCGGGATAGCCTATCTTTGAAGGGGTAGCCGTAGGCCGTATCATTTGGTAGCAGAGCGTGGTTGATTGATTTTCAATCACGCCACGGCCGTAACATTAATAATAATAACATAGTAATACGTAATAATAAAATTCGTTCCTTTGTTGCTTGTTTTCTTTGTTTGCTCGTGGATAGAATCGGAATCGAGGAAACGCCCGTAAGTGAACAAGCAGGAGTTTGTTAAGGCTAAGTACTCACCATAGTTGTTAAGGTGAGGTACCTCGACTAGGTAGACAAGGTTGTCACGTAATCGGATAATTTGTTGATCGTACTAGAGTTTGTTACTTGTTAATTTGATTTGTGTTTTTTCGTGCTAACTTGTAGTTAATTTAATAAACGGTAACCGTATTTGTGTAATGTCTATTTAACTTGATTTGATAGGAACGGTATTTTGTTACTCGTTAATTTTTTTTTGTATTTATTATTTGTTAATTTGTAATTTTAAAGAATTGAGCTGCGTAGTAATTGTATTTAGTAGTGATGCCATCACACAAGCTACGGATTCGTTGCTTGCGGACTGAGCTGCGCTGGGCTACCAGCGCACATGCCTTGATAGGTCGACCAGATAGGGTCTATAACATGAGGAAGAGGCTCGAGCAGGTCGATGCTCGAAGGGCTGCCGTGGAGCAGGTTTACGCTGAGCTCGAGGACTCGGAAGTGGAAAAGGGAGTCCTGGACTCCTGCCGCGCGGACTACGAGCAGTTCCTCGCGCTCACGGACGATTTGATCGAGGCGGGGGCCAAAGACGCGGAGAAGGAGCGTGAAGCTCGGCTGAGTGGCCTGCTCGAGTCCCCTCGGAAGCCGCCCACTCAGCCGGAGCTGTTGGGACGACTCCCAACGCTGGACCTGCCAAGGTTCTCCGGGGTCATCTCGGAATGGCTGACTTTCGTCGGGCTATTTGAGAGCCTGGTGGACGCCAGGAGGGACTTGACCCCCATCCAAAAAATGGGGTACCTCCTGGCATCACTGGAGGGGGAGGCCCTGGGCGTCGTCGGCCACATTAAGTTGTGGGACGACGCCTACCAAAACGCCAGGGACCTCCTCGCTGGAAGGTACGCCAACGTCCGGCGGATTGCTGACGATCACGTTCGGAGGCTGCTGAACCTCCCGCTGCTGAAGGACTGGACCAGATTACGTGAGGACATCGTGAATCCAGTCGTGGTGACGTGCAACTCGTTGCGGCAGCTGGATTTACCGGTGGACGAGTGGTCTTTTTTGTTACTCCACATCGTGCTGTCCCGCCTGCGGCCTGCCCCTCGACCTTCGGCTCCATTTTGAGGAAAGGTACGGCGGGGATGGCGCCTCGTATATCCCCCCCTTTAGGGACCTGCTGCGTTTCTTGGAGGAGCAGTGTAGGCAGTTGGAGAATGCAGCAGGCGCCGGCGAGGGCCCCCTGGCTGTCGCCCGAGCGGTGCCCAGGGAGAGGCGGAATCCGACGGCCAAGGCATCGCCGACCCCCCTGATGCCGAGCGGAGCCCCCGCAGGAGGGCGCCCCCCCTACCCTCTTATAGTGGCCTAGCGGCCAGGGAGGCAACCCCTGCTCTTATTGTCGAGCATCAGACCACCGGGCAACGTCGTGCCCTAAGCTGTTGCGCAAGCCGGCTCCGGCGAGGCGAACCATCGCCAGGGAGCACCGCTGGTGCTACTCGTGCCTGGAGAGCCATTTACGAGACTGCCCGCACGAGCGGCCCTGCACGCACTGCTAGGGCAACCATCATATCATTTTGTGCCTGGGTGCGCGCGGCTCGTCCTCCCTGGGCCCTGCCAGCCCCCCGACTCCCACGGGCGGGGGCGCTCAGCCACGCCCCCTGTCGGGCGACGCTCGGCGCTCTCCGGCTGACCACAGCGCTAAAAGTAAGGTTGCTCCCATTAGGTCCCGATTAACTATTCCTAAATTGGAACTGTCCGGAGCCGCTCTTCTCACGCGACTCCTCAACCACGTTCACTCGTCCTTGAAGCCTGTCGTCGACATTACGGACGTCTACGCATGGTCGGACAGTTATATAGTACTTTGTTGGCTCAGAGCTGCACCTCACAACCTTGAGGTCTTTGTGGCGAACCGCGTGTCTCAAATCCAGAGTTCTGAGACTTCTCTAAACTGGAAACATGTCCCAGGGGAGTTGAATCCCGCAGACTGCGCTTCTCGCGGCTGTGAGGACCCCTCGCTGGTTGACCACCCACTGTGGTGGGGTCCCGGTTGGTTATCTGAGTCTCAGTCACTCTGGCCCCAGGGTAATTACTCCGAACCTACCGAATTGCCGGGCCTATGAGTCCGAGTAGGAGTGGGCAAGGATAAGCCCACTCGGGATCTCTCTCTTCTGGAACGGTACAGCTCTCTCGACAAGCTCTTAGGAGTGACTGCTTGGTTGCGCCGCTTTGTCCGCAATTCGAAAGACCCGTCCAACTGACTCTCTGATTGCGTTTTGTCCCCTAGCGAGCGTCGCGAAGCTTTGATGCATTGGACCCGTATAGTCCAAGCGGAGCATTTTGAGCCCGCTATTGAAAACTTGAAGCGTGGCTCCGTCATCAAGGACGCTCTGGCCCGCCTGAACCTCTTTCTGGACGACGCTGGGATGCTGCGCGTTGGTGGACGTTTGAGAAATTCTCAACTGCCGTACGGGTCTCGACACCCGTTGCTGCTCCCCAAGGACGGCGCCTTTGTCCGGTTGCTGGTAACCCACCATCATGTTAAGAACGCCCACGCTGGGTGTAACTCTCTTTCGGCTATTTTGCAGCGGGAGTTTTGGATTTTGGCTGGCCACCATTCGGAGCGTCATCTTTAAGTGCATACCATGTTATAAACTGAAGACCACCATATCGCAGCCTATGATGGGTGACTTACCACCCGACCGCGTCAGGGCCATCCGACCATTCGCTGGAGTCGGAACAGACTTTGCGGGCCCCTTCCTCGTCAAGTCCTCCAACCTTCGTAACGCGTGTTCACATAAGGCCTATCTGTGCGTTTTCGTGTGCCTCTCCACTAAGGCCGTTCACTTAGAACTGGTAAGTGCCCTCAGCACGGAAGCCTTCTTGGCCACTTCTTGACTTGATGCGGTCGGATTGCGGAACGAATTATAAGGGCACATCACAATTTCTGTCCAGCCACCGGACTTATTTAGGCAATGCGATGTCAAAAACGGGCATCCAGTGGAAATTCGACCCTCCGGCGTGTCCTCACTGGGGCGGTATTTTTGAGGCGGTGGTTAATGTTGCAAAAACGCATCTCCGTCGCGTTATTGGTGAAACCATTTTGACATTTGAGGAGCTCGCCACTGTATTCTGTAAAATTGAGGCGGTACTCAACTCTCGTCCCCTCTCATCCGATCCAAATGATTTGGAGGTTTTAACCCCGGGACACTTCCTGATTGGCCAGCCGCTTAACGCGCTGCCCGAGTACCCCTTCAGGGAAACGAACTCTTCGCGGTTGAGCAGGTTTGGCCTGCTGCAACAGATGACTCAGAGCTTTTGGCACCAATGGTCTCTGGATTACCTACATCTTTTGCAGCAGCGCATTAAGTGGTCTGACAAGACGGATCCTCCTTGGGTGGGAGACCTCGTGTTGGTTAAAGAACCCAACGCTCTGCCTTTGTATTGGCGCCAAGGGCGCATTGTTAAGTTGTCGCATGGATCGGATGGAGTCCCGAGGGTGGCCGAGGTTTTGGTCGGAGATTCGGTCTTGCAACGTGCCGTCGCGATTTTGTCCCGTTTCCCAATCTACTCGCGGACATAATCACTTAAGTCCGGGGCAGGTTGTTTAGGCCAACATTAAATATATTGAGAAGTGCGTTATAATCGCTTGTTAATAGCTTCGCACGGTAGCGAAGTCACATTCCCCCTCCCGCGCCGACATTCCTTTCCAGCCGACGGACGAGATACGCCTCGAGTCATTGTAAAACGCTTTCGATAGGAACGGACGTTTTTGGGTTTTATCACTTAATTTTTGGTCACGAACAGAGTTAAAACTACTGCCGCTGCCGTGAGCGGGAACACGTGTTGTTTTTTACGGAATTATAAATTCGGTTAAAGCAATTGTGCAATTTATATATAGAGATTTCGTTGAAGTTCCTTTTTTTTTGACTGTGCCGTTACGGGAATAGACTAAACTAGTGCCTCAAAAAGGGAATTGTTCCGGGGCTACAAGAGACTACCTTCTCCAAGGACAGCGTCGTGTCATCTCGCCCAGGCCACTTACACACAGTCTCACACAAATACCACCTACACTCACTACACTTACCACAGCCTGGCAGATCTTGGTGAACAGTTTCCGCTCTCGAATCAGGTAAGTGCCTTCCTGTTAACTAGTCTCCCCCCTTGATTGGGATAGGATATTTCCCAGTGGCCTTTAGAGGCCCGACCTGCGTCTACCCATAGGATTCCTTCTTGGGCCCGGGATAGCCTACTTTGAAGGGGTAGCCGTAGGCCGTATCATTGATGTTGGCAAATTTTTTTGCATGCAATCCAGATTTTTGTTCTGCCGAGTTTTAATGTTAAAACATCAATGTAAGTACCTATTACCAAGTTTTATTTATACAATAAAAGGATAGAGTATATTTTGATCGTAATCTAATTCTTGTTTTCTGGTCCGAAAGGGAATCCTACGGGGATGACGCAAAAGGCTATGTGCAGCTCAAAAGTTTTTTTTTTATAGAAATAGGGTGACAAACGAGCACACAGTCCACCTGATGTTAAGTGGTTGCTGTGATGCAACCACTGCGTTGTCAGCCTTGAGGACTAAGATGGAATGCGTCTTTTCCAGTAAAAAGGGTCTCCGGTTCTCTACACTCACCATATGAAACACAGCAGCATTAAGCTGCTATTTTACGCTGGTATTCTGTGAGAGCGTGTTCATTCCCCGGTCGAGCCAACCCATTCGTGCTACAAGTATATTATAAATATAGCTGCAGCTTGGCTCTACCACGTATAAGTTTGAAAAACATATGCATAGTTAAGTGTACAATATGCTCAGAACACAAAGTGTATTTGAGATTTTGTAGACAATGTCTTCGGGTCTCGTTGCCAATTTTAACCAAGTATTTCTCATATTTAAATCAGTTCACACCTGAATCCATAACTTTCTCGGTGTTCTTATGCTCGTATTTTTCATTCAGACACAACACAATGGCGATATAGATAACTCATTATTAAACATCTAAAAGTATCTTATTACTTTACAAAATCGGCAACATTCTAGGTCAGTGACGTCACAAGTTGAACAGCATGGCGGCTAGCGTTTTCACGCGAATATTAAAAAGATAGTTATGGCACTATTCGTCGGTTTTAAAAAATTTATATAAAAATTATAGTGGTTCATTATCACTCTAGGATTCATTTAAAATACTTTTGAAAATAGATGTAATACCCTATTGGGCCTAAATGTGAGCCTTGTGGTAACCCAGTGGTAGTAGAAACAAATAAAATATTTAATTTGTGGCTCTTTTTGTGTCTAGTGGTTCGCTTGGGTTTGTATCTAATCTCGATGCAGAAGTGTCTCTTTTGCGGTGTCTGGCGGTTTGAAGGGTAAAAGAGAGCCTGTATTATTACCAGCTGTGGGGCAATCCATTAAAGCTATCTCGTAAAAGAATTCAAAAGTCATTTCGTTGCGCGGGCGTTGTAAGAGGCGATTATGGAATAATATGTTAAAAAACTTTTGATATATGGCGGTATAACAATCTTGTGGACCTGGCGACGGGAAGCGGGTGAGAAACATTTGGTATTTTAACAGGCCTGTTGGTCTAGTGGTTAGTGACCCTGACTGCTACGCCGGAGGTCGTGGGTTCGATTCCCACCCAGGACAAATGTTTGTGTGATGAGCACGATCATTTGTTCTGTGTCTGGGTGTAATTTATCTATAATATTTATGTATTTAGAAATATATAAGTATGTTTATCAGTTGTCTAGTACCCATAACACAAGCTCTGCTTAGCTTGGGACTAGATGGCGTTGTTTGATAGTTGTGGAATATTATTATATTATTATATTATTATTTGGTTGTCAATTCGCTCGCCAAGCGAGATGATTCAGAAATACCTTACAATAAGAGAAGCCTTTGTTCAGCAGTTAAGTTTCACCGGCTGATGAAGACGAACATGTATGGTAGATTGACGATTTGGTAGGACATGTAGGAAGTTGACTAATCCAGATGGCTTAGAAGTGTGTTTTGTGGTATTTCTTAGGTGTCGGAAGTTTATTAAGGTTGTGTCTTAGTGATGAGTTGCGGCGCTGAGAATCTCGCAAGGAACAAGTGTTCCCATAAAGGTCTGACGATGATGATTATGGTGACGTTTCTGATAACGATGACTTATGATTATAATAGAAATGGAGATGATGATGATGATAACGATGGCGATGGTGTTTATTATGACGATGATTCTTTCTATAAATAACTGTTCCTTCACGATACAGGAGAAAATCTTAGTATGTAATGTAAAAATAAAAAAGAGCGGGAGTGTCTGACCGGCGTGCGTGAAGGAGTGGTAGTAGACGCGGTCGGGCCAGGAGGAGTCGGGCGCCAGGCGCAGGTCGGCGGGCGCGCCGGGCGCGCAGCTCCAGCGCAGCGAGCGGTTGAACGCGCGGAACGTCGTGAACGTCACGTCCAGCCGCGGGTCCGCCCCTGCACACACACGCACAACAACAACATGAACATTGGCCCCCACATACATTGCCTCATAAAGGGGACGAATATAGATAGATAGATAGATACATAACACTTTATTGTACGCCAAAAAATAACATAAATATTAACAAAAATTGAGAAAAAGAAATGTGGTACAATAAGACCTATCGCTAAAAGCGATCTCTTCCAGACAACCTTTGGATGGACAGGATTGCAAGAAAACAATAAAAACGTGAGTGGTTTGGCGACAAAATAATTTTTGTTAAAGCCATAAAATAGAAATATATAATGGTATATAAGTACATAGATAAGATAAATACATACAATTATTAATATATATGTATAAATATACAAATAAATATACATAACATATAAACATAAACACTCACGCCTGTCACCCAGAGGGGTAGGCAGAGATATGGACTTCCATTTGGCACGATCCAGACACACCTCTCTCGCCTCCTCCACATCCATATACCTACTCATACACGCTCGTCGGTTAAAGGTACTCTTGATTTGGCCCATTTTTAATAAATCTCCAATTTGGTCGATAAACTTTCGCCTAGGGCGACCCTTCCCGACTCTGCCGTTCACCTCTGCAACATAAATTTGCTTTGTCACTCTTTCCTCATTCATTCTTTCTACATTATCACACCACCGAAGCATTCCTTTCTTAATCCTGGTCACAACATCATCTTGCAAACCACACTCTTCTCTTATTAAACAATTTCTCACTCTGTCATTCAGCTTCATCCCTAACATACTCCTTAATGACCGCATTTCCACAACATTTATTCTACTCTCGTGCTTCTTCTGCCACACCCAACTTTCACTACCATACATTAAAATAGATACTAACACAGCATTGTGAATTGCCATACGTGCCTTTTTGGACACATTCTGACTTTTCACAATAGGGTGTAGAGCCCCATTCACTCTATTTCCTGCATTCACTCGTCGTTCTATATCCTTAACATATCTACCATCCCTGCTAAACACACATCCCAAATACACAAACTCATCTACTTGCTCGACCAACTCCTCTTCTATTCTTATTTCACATATCGTTTTACTTTCTTCTCTTTCAAAAACCATAACTTTCGTCTTACTTGCGTACACTTTCATTCCCTTTTCTTTTAATGTCCTGTTCATTAAGGTAACCATCATTTGTAACTCGGCCGCCGACGACGCAAGTATCACTTGATCATCGGCGTACAAAAGACATTTGACGATTAACTCACCCATTCTTAACCCGCATTCTTCTACTTTCAAATTTTCCAAACAACTGTCCATAAATAGGTTGAACAGCCACGGGGAAGCCACACAGCCCTGTCTGACACCTTTATGGATGCCAAACCAGTCCGAGTAGGCCCCGTTGATCCTGACACAAACACTAGAGTCCCTATAAAGAGACTTCAATGCCTGTATCAACCTAGCGCTCAACCCAAATGAGTTTAGTGTTTGCCATAACAAATTCCTGTCCACTCTCACAAATAAATATATATTTCTTTAAATATAAATATATAAAAGTACAAACATATACTTTAAAACTATTACATATAACATAATTGTGCCATACATATAAACAAATATTGTAACTAAATAAAGGAGAATAATTATATACAAATGAACTAGATAGAATCAAAGTTGAAAAAAGTAATCATATATGTATACATGTTTCTATATCTTTGCCATAGTTGTCACTCTTCGCAAGCGGATTGGCAAACGCAGTTTATTTGTCAGTATTAGGAAGACGCTGCTGCCCATCTCCTGATTTGTTTCACTATGTCGCCCTCTCACAACACTCACGGGATGATATGGGGTGGTGGATATTTTTAGTTCTTACACCGTCACTATACGGGAAATACCAGAACAAAAAAAATATTACAATATAATTTAGCAAACCACTAAATTATGCAGACAACTTGATACTACGGAGTCCAATTTTCGAAATCTGGTTACTTTAGAGGAGACTGTAACCTTACTTGATAAGTTGCAAACGCTACTGAATACAAATATTCCTTGTAAAAGTATTAAATCAACTTTCACATTTCATGCCTTGAAAAAAATCTTAAGGAAAATATAAGCGTTATTCAAATTACAATCCAATAAAATAATGTACAAATAACATTCAAGATATAGAAAATATATATAAATATACATCACAAGTAAAATAGAATTAATCACTTATTTCATTTCGTAAACTGTGGCGGGAAGGGCACTGACCTGGCGGGCGTGTGGCGAGGCACAGCGGAGGAGGTCACTGACCTGGCGGGCGCGTGGCGAGACACAGCGCGGGAGGTCACTGACCTGGCGGGCGCGTGGCGAGGCACAGCGGGGGAGGTCACTGACCTGGCGGGCGCGTGGCAAGGCACAGCGGGGGAGGTAACTGACCTGGCGGGCGCGTGGTGAGGCACAGCGGGGGAGGTCACTGAACTGGCGGGCGCGTGGCGAGGCACAGCGGGCCGGCGGCGTCGGGGCTGAGGCCGCGGCGCGTGGCGTGGCACAGCGGGGGAGGTCACTGACCTGGCGGGCGCGTGGCGAGGCACAGCGGGGGAGGTCACTGACCTGGCGGGCGCGTGGCGAGGCACAGCGGGGGAGGTCACTGACCTGGCGGGCGCGTGGCGAGGCACAGCGGGGGAGGTCACTGACCTGGCGGGCGCGTGGCGAGGCACAGCGGGGGAGGTCACTGACCTGGCGGGCGCGTGGCGAGGCACAGCGGGGGAGGTTACTGACCTGGCGGGCGCGTGGCGAGGCACAGCGGGGGAGGTCACTGACCTGGCGGGCGCGTGGCGAGGCACAGCGGGGGAGGTCACTGACCTGGCGGGCGCGTGGCGAGGCACAGCGGGGGAGGTCACTGACCTGGCGGGCGCGTGGCGAGGCACAGCGGGGGAGGTTACTGACCTGGCGGGCGCGTGGCGAGGCACAGCGGGGGAGGTCACTGACCTGGCGGGCGCGTGGCGAGGCACAGCGGGCCGGCGGCGTCGGGGCTGAGGCCGCGGCGCGTGGCGTGGCACAGCGGGGGAGGTCACTGACCTGGCGGGCGCGTGGCGAGGCACAGCGGGGGAGGTCACTGACCTGGCGGGCGCGTGGCGAGGCACAGCGGGGGAGGTCACTGACCTGGCGGGCGCGTGGCGAGGCACAGCGGGGGAGGTCACTGACCTGGCGGGCGCGTGGCGAGGCACAGCGGGGGAGGTTACTGACCTGGCGGGCGCGTGGCGAGGCACAGCGGGGGAGGTCACTGACCTGGCGGGCGCGTGGCGAGGCACAGCGGGGGAGGTCACTGACCTGGCGGGCGCGTGGCGAGGCACAGCGGGGGAGGTCACTGACCTGGCGGGCGCGTGGCGAGGCACAGCGGGGGAGGTTACTGACCTGGCGGGCGCGTGGCGAGGCACAGCGGGGGAGGTCACTGACCTGGCGGGCGCGTGGCGAGGCACAGCGGGCCGGCGGCGTCGGGGCTGAGGCCGCGGCGCGTGGCGCGCGCGCCGGCGAGCACGCGCACGCGGCGCTGCTCGCTGTCGGCGAGGCGCTCCAGGCCGCCGTGCGGCTCTGGCGTCACCACCAGCGGGTGGTACTCGGTGGCCGAATGCGGCTCGTTGCCGCCGGACACCTGCCTCACACAACATCACCAAGCAATTTGTTTTAAGAAAATACTTTAAAACCTAAACAACATCTTGTGTATTAACACAAATAAATTTAATTTTATAAAGGAGCAAAATATTTCATAAAATAGTGTAGGTAAGGGTACCAGGAAGTATAACATAATTAATACATTATGGTATTAACAATCACGATAATTATCAAAAAGAAAAACTAGTGTACTTTATTCATAGTGTCATTTGGATAAATTAAAATCCTTTTAACCATTCAATTAAAACACATGCTATCCTTATTATAAACCTAATTGATATATCTAGCGGACAGCATGTGTGTGTATATTATCTATTAACATATTATCATTGATTAGAAAGTGATATTTCTAATCTTAATGCTCCAATACTCTTTACATACATATTCAAATAAGTATAAAATAATGCCATTTGGATTGATAAAATCCCCATTCACTTTTCAATAAAACACATTATTTTTTATAATGACATTTTAACGAGAACTACTATTGAAAATGAAAGACGTCAAAACAAACTAATAATAAATCTGCGTCTTTTGACGAGAGAAGCTAATTAATTCATGGTAACACAAATACTGAATTTCAGTAAAGTGATGTGAGATTCCACTAATTATCTTTGAAGATTTAATAAACCAACTCATACGATTACCATATATGTAATAAACACTAATAGTAGGTTAACTGCTTTGTTACACCGCAAAATAGCTACAAGGCTGTCTGGACAAAAAATATGCAAGGGTTGTCATAAAAACATTTCCTTAGATATAAATATCATAACATTATATTTTATCTGTATTCCTACTACTAAATACATCACAACTTACAAAACTTGTTGCGTCCTGCGGCTTCACCTTATTTGTCGTGATGGAAACAAAGGCTTGTGCTGGTAGACACCTACCTAATTTTACCTACACAGCAGCAAATAAAAATATAATTACGGATTTTAACGGAAGGGACCCCGTGACCATTGGTTGCTGTAAAGCACTCGAAACGTCGGGCATTCAAATAAATAAATTAAATGCGTTAAAATCCGTAAATATAGTTTTTTTCAATGTGTAGTATTCGCGTAAATATAAGAAATCATTACATAGCAGTATCTCAGGTATTCCGCTTAAAATATTCGATAGGCGGTTGAACAGAATAAATAAAACAGGAAAATTATATGTTCTTTTTTTTATAGGATAAGGGTGACAAACGAGCACACAGTCCACCTGATGGTAAGTGGTTGCTGCGGCCCATAGACATCTACATCTATCTTCGATTACGAATCAAAATGCAGATGCGTTGTCACCCGTGAGGACTAAGATGGAATGTCTCATTTCCAGTAAAAAGGGTCTCCGGTTCTCTACACAGCAGCATTAAGCTGCTATTTTACGCTGGTATTCTGTGAGAGCGTGGTTCTTCCCGGGTCGAGCCGACCCATTCGTGCTACAATCATAATATAGCTACAGCATGGCTCTACCACATATAATAATAATGTATGTAATAATAATTCTGTTTATTCAACACACGCCGATTCTTTATAAATGTGCAACCGACAAATATTTGCAGCATTTACTATTGGGTTTTTAAAATGTCTTTTGTTGATTTTAATGATATAATGAATTCTCATCCTTACATATAATTCAATAAAAAATCGTGATGGAAAGCAATCACGTGGTTATAAGAATTTAATTTTAATTAAGGCGTCACACAATATTTTAAAATAATACTGAGTAATATCGTGTTGTGGGGTAAACACCAAACGCGTGTAACTAATTACGACGTGTACGTGATACTCCTAGACAGGCGTACCGGTATGCAAGCGTATCACTATTAGTATTTATTACACATATGCGATTACTATGAGTTGCCTTATAAGGAAGCCCAAGGTCGCTCAAGGACTTATGGAGAGGGCTATGCTTGGAATTTCAAAATAAAGGTATCCGTAGTAGAACCACTTAGTAGTAACCGACACAACCTAACGGATTAGTAAGCTGAAGTGGCGATGGGCATATAGCTTGAACAATTAATAACTGATGGGGAAGAAAGGTTATCGAGTGGCTACCTCGTACCAGTAAGCTAAGTGTAGGGTTGCTCCTAATTAGACGTAGTGACGACCTAGTAAGACATGCACAAACAGGACGGAAGCAGGTGTTTCAGGATTGTGTTTTGTGGCGTCCCTTGGGACTGGCTTATTTTCAGCAGTAGACTTGTGAAGGGCTATAATGATGATGATTTAACGAGACCAACTAATTAGTTAATATAAGTAAAAGATATTGCATTTATATCCAAACACCATGAATCTTCATCATAATTATTACAAAACAAATCCTCGCCGCTTTTATCAGCAAATACAGCAAATAATTATTTTGCAAACGTCGGCAAAAATCTTGCTGAGCAGATAACAAACAATTCTAACGATAATCATGAATACAGGGCCACTTTCTCAACTCAAAGAAATGCCAATTAAGCTCGTTCGTATTATTAGATACGGACGCTATTGAGGTAGAAAGTATTATTAAGGGAACTGAAGAAACAAGCGCGGTTGTTTGGGATGGCATACCCACTGGTATATTAAGAAAATTTAGTCAAATTCTAGTACTACCATTAACTCATATTTTTCGAATTTGCCTCTGAGGGAATTTTTCCAGATTATTTTTAAAAAAGCCATTGTAGTTCGGGTATACAACGTGGCCGCTACAATGGTTTTATTCAAACTTAACAATAAGAAAGTAACTAAAATTGGGGTACGACTTTCCATTGACGTCCTTCGAGTTGGGGGTTGATATTTTTTTTTTACAGAAAGGTCAAATTATTATAAGCACACACACGCAAAGTTTCAACATGCGGAAACGCGTACTTTTTGAGAAAAAAATTATTGAAAATCAATTATTTTTGCAATATTTATGCCAATCCCCATTAACGTCCGTCAAGTTGGGGGTTGATGTTTCTTTTTTACAGAAAGGTTACATTATTATAAGCACACACGCAAAGTTTCAACATTCGGAGACGCGTACTTTGGACTTTCTGACGCTATTTTGTATTATCATTGTCATCGTCAGTAGGGATGTCGATTCTTTCCGAAAAATATCGATTTTATAAATCGATTCGATCGTAAGCTGATGAATCGATTCACAAAAAATTGATTTATAAAATTTCGATATTTTTTCATGTTTGCATTTATAATGTAAATATAAATCCATTTTATGAGAAAAAATCCCCTTCATCAGAAAAAAATAGGGGGACTGATTAAGAGGGATTTCAGAAACAGAAACAGAAACAGAACCTTTTTTATTCAATATAGATTATAAATAATACTTATTGAAAGTCACTCTTTTGTTTGATTACCACTGTTTCTGTATCTATTTTGAGACTGCAACGTCTCCGGCGCTGCGGGAAGAGCAGCTTCTACGCCTTTGCGAAATCGTAGGGATCAGACGAGCCGGAGCGGCTGAGGCTGGTCGCCGAAGGCGACCAACAAGCCGAAGCTGCGGAGGTGAAAATCAAAATAGATACAGAAATCCCTCTTAATTAGTTCCCCCATTTTTTTCTGATGAAGGGGATTTTTTTCTCATAAAATGGATTTATATTTACATTATAAATGCAAAGATGAAAAAATATCGATATTATTAAAATTGGGGTACGACCCAAACCCGATGATCGGTTAACGTATGGCCAGGTTTATTTAAGGATCGCATACTGAGACCAGTGTTTCTGCCACAGCGACTTAACTGACAGCGATACCTAAACTTTATAAATGAACAGTTGGTTGACATTTTAGACGTCCTATCGTTGGTTGAATATCGCCGCACATGGTTCCAGCATGATGGTGCACCTCCACGTGTCGTGAGGTTCGTCCGTGAACGCCTCACCGAATTATTTGATGATCGCTGAATTAGCAGACTAGGACCACACACTTGGCCACCTCGCTCACCAGATCTAAGCCCGTTAGATTTCATTCTGTGGGGGTATGTGAACGAAAGGGTTTTTAATCGTTAGTGTGATAGTGCTGACGAAATGCACCAAAGGATCGTGGATGTTTTCGACAAACTACGTACGGACTGGGTCGAAGACCACACGATGATGCCCCGCCTGCATGAGGAGACGCAACACCGAGCCCTGCGAAATCTGCCTCCAAATGAATGGAGCACAATTTGAGCCGCATCTCATAACGCCACGGAGAATTTAGAGCGGTAAGCTGTTTCATACCTAATTTTTTTTTTAAATAGCTTAGTACTGAACTGATCTGAATACTTCAGAATAATAAACACACCTACACGATAGATAAATAAGCATGTCGTTGTTAAAATTTAATTTTTTCACTAGCGGGGAATCGAACCAGGTATTTGGTGTTTATTTAACCTGTGAATTCGAATTAAAGTGGCTAGGTGGAGACTAACACAGTGGCAAAATAGTAGGTTAAGTAGATAAGTTAGGTATTTAGACAAGTGTTGTAAATAATTAGGTATTGCAGTATTGCCCACAGCTAGCGATCGTACGATTGCTAGCTGCGGGCCGCGTGGATTCGGCGTCAATTCCGCGCGACAATAAGGCCAATAACTCTATTGTCTGCTGATTTCATTTAAGTTCCACTGCTGGTTTGGCAAAATAGTAGGTTAAGTAGATAAGTTAGGTATTTAGACAAGTGTTGTAAATAATTAGGTATTGCAGTATTGCCCACAGCTAGCGATCGTACGATCGCTAGCTGCGGGCCGTGTAGATTCGGCGTCAATTCCGCGCGACAGTAAGGTTAATAACCCTATTGTCTGCTGATTTCATTTAAGTTCCACTGCTGGTTTTATGTTTAAGTATTTTCATTTTTTTTATAGAATTATCGTTTGACATAGCTGTACTAACATGATGGAGCGTGAATAAAACTAATAAAACGTTGTGAAAAGATGATTTTTTTCCTCGGGATCAATTTTCTTCCTGCCCATGATCAAAGGTATCGTTAGTATTATCGCCTGTTTTTGTTTTCGGGAGCGTTTCACAAACACTCGGTATATAAATGAACTTTGCAATCTTGAACTTAACTGAGGTAAAATAATATCTTACGCAGTTGATATTGCGCTCCTTTTTTCTGCAAATACAGTAAACAAGGTTTATTTACGTGCACACAGCAAGGTTTTGACAGGGTTACTAAATGGCTCCAACAAAACAAATTAACACTGAATATCGAAAAAATGAAATATGTATATTAATTTTTCTATGCTTAGCCTCAACACAGCATATAACCATTCCAGAAATGTATGCACACGCATGTTGCTCAGTCGCAGAGTCTAAATGTAATTGCCCGGTTATTTTTAATACAAAAACTATTAAATCTTCTTCTTCTTCTTCTTCTACCTAGCGTTTATCCCGGTTGCTCATCCCGCCCAGCGCGGGAGAACCCAGGGTCCGCTTTCCAACACTTCCTCCTCCACTTTGCTCGGTCTTCGGCGTCCCTCACAACTAGCCCATTGGCGCGCATGTCATCCTGCACGACATCAAGCCAGCGTTTCTTGGGCCGTCCTCTACTCCTGGTACCAGGTAAGGTCATGTCCAGGCATTTGTTTCCCACGTAGCTTGCTGGTCGTCGTAAGACGTGGCCGTACCAGCGGAGGCGACTTTCCTGCAGCTTGTCAGCAATGTCACGGACATGGAGGCTGCCGCGGATGTATGTATTCCGTACACGGTCTTTCCGCGTGACGCCACACATCCACCGCAGCATGTTCATCTCCGTGACATGCAACAACTGCCGGTGTCGCTCCAGTACCGGCCACGCCTCATTGCCGTACGTAAGGACAGGCCTTATGATGGCCTTATAGACCTGTCCCTTCAGCTTGACCGGCATTTTGGGGTCACAAATGATACCCGTCACCTCGCGCCATTTCGCCCAAGCCGCTGATATACGGGCCTTGATGTCGCGATCGATGTCACCGGACGCATCAAGCACAGATCCGAGGTACCTGAAGTAGTCCGTGCGCTCAACGGTGTCGTCGCCTATACGGAGAGACGTCAGATCTGTGCTGTTGCAGGCCATATACTCCGTCTTCGCCACGTTTAGCTTCAGCCCGCCGTTCTCAAGCGCCTTACTCCATGCGTGCACGCGTCTGGTGAGCCGTCCTTTGTCCCCATCTACCAGTGCGATATCATCAGCGTACATAAGCAGCCAAGGCTGCGGCAGTTTCTGTACGCTGGCTGACAGTTCGTCTAATATCACACTGAAAAGATAGGGGCTTAAGGCGGAGCCCTGATGCACGCCTATGGTTATGGGGAAGGGGGTGGTATCACCAACAGCGGTCCTAACTATTGAATCGGAGTTGCGGTACATGTCACGTACGATTTCCACGTAGGTCTCTGGTACCAACTTCGACCGCAACGCCCACCAGATCATCTCCCTAGGAACACAGTCAAAGGCCTTCTGCAGGTCTAGGAATAAAAAATGCAGAGGCATATTCTTTTCCCTGTGCTTCTCCATGAGGATCCTTAGGGCGAATATAGGGTCCATGGTACCGCGTCCTGGTTGGAAACCGTACTGGAAGTCCGACACTGTACACTCCTGTCGGATCCTGGTGTCAATAATGCGCTCGAAGAGCTTCATGGTGTGTGACATTACCTTTATACCGCGGTAATTACCGCAATCCTGAACGGACCCTTTACCCTTGTGGACCGGCGTTATTATACTAAGCCGCCACTGATCGGGCATTATTCCGCCGCTCAGGATTCTATTATAAGGGTTAGTAAGAATGCACACACCACGAGCCCCCAGCGCTTTCCACGCTTCAATGGGCACCTCGTCCGGTCCGACAGCTTTCCGATTCTCCATGTGACGAAGAGATGCGAGGACCTCGTCAGGTGTAATCGGTGGCACGAGTCCATGGTTCGGGAGTTGTTCGGGAGGGTGCACTTCCCGGTGCTGAGTATTCAGCAAAACGTGGAAATAAGAGCGCCATCTCTCCTTCACCGCACGATCATCGTACAGGAGCTCGCCATTAGGGCCGTTGACGCTGCAGCAGCGAGTAATATCTTGCGCTGCTTTGGCCCTAGAGCGCGCCAGTTTATATATGAACTTGTGCCCCTCAGGAGTGTCCAACTTAGCATATAATGGTTGCAAGTGGTCACGCCTGGCTCTGGCTACAGCTTTCTTGGCAGCTCTTTTCGCAGTCTTGTAAGATGCGCGATCTTCAGGAGATTTGGTCACTTGCCACGTCTTGAAGAGCGCTTTCTTCTCCCGTAATGAACCCTGGACTGTGGCGTCCCACCACCAGGTCTCCTTGTCGATTTTGCGGCCCCCTTTCGCCACGCCGAGAACTTGCTTTGCCGTCTTTGTGATTGCTGTCTGAATGGTTTTCCAGCACTCTTGGACGGACTTGCCTGCTGTGTCGAGACTAATATCTCCAGCGGCAGAGTCAAACTCTGAGTATCTGGTTTGATCCAGCAGCCACCACTTGATTTGACGGCGGCAACGTTCGGCGTGTCTACGACGGGGTTTTACGCAGAGGTCCATGACAAGAAGTCGGTGTTGGGTAGTGAGACACTCACCGGGTATGACCTTACAGTTGGCCACGCGACTGATATGACTTCTCCTGGTCAGTAGATAGTCGATTTGAGTGGAGTTCCGACCGCTCCTGTAGGTAATCAGGTGCTCGGTTTTCTTTTTGAAGAACGTGTTCACCACGGCCAGGTCAGCTGCAGTGCAGGTTCTGAGAATGGTTTCCCCTTCTGCGTTTCTTCGGCCGTAACCATAGCCGCCGTGGACACGTTCATACTCCCCCTGCACCTCGCCCACATGACCATTCAGGTCGCCACCCAAAACGACATCGTGGTACAACGGTATGCCGCGTAGTACATCTCCGAGCCGATCCCAAAACAGCGTTTTATCCGCGTCGCTGCAGCCGACCTGTGGGGCGTAGGCACTTATTAAGTGGGTCAAGACCCCCTCAATAAGCAACCTTACTTCCATATGTCGGTCGCATATGCGTCTAACTTCCAAGACGCTATCGTGGAAATGCTCGGCGAGCACCACTGCCACACCGTTCTCTCCACCAGAGGAGCCTGTATATATCAGCTTGTTGTACCCAATATTCCGGCTCCTGTTGGCCTTCCACCGTGTCTCCTGCAGGAATGCCACTGCCACTTTACGCCTGGCAAGTATGGCCGCAAGTTCTGCGGAGCGTCCCGTAAGCGTGCCAATGTTCCAGTTTGCAAAGCGAATCTTCGTAGTTCGTGCTAACGTCTTTAGCCGGGCTCGCACGGGGCCCAGTAGCCCTCGCATACTTGTCGCAGGGTTAAGGCGATCCCCATGCGCGTCGTTATGCGGCGACGCCCTAGTCCTAAACGTATTTATCTTTTTTTTACCGTCCATTTTTGAGTGGCTTAGTGCCAATTACCAGGGCGACTGCCGTATGACCCCCGAACCCCTAGGACGAATTCCAGAGGAGTGGCATCGCCAGAGCTCTTTCCGTTATCCAGCAGGTGCGCCACGTGCAGGCGGGGTTGGCTTGGGCTCCAAGATCTTAGCGGAACCCCTTACACCCAAAGGCCAAAGGGCAAAGCCTCAGCTGCTCCGGCTCGTCTGATCCCTACGATTTTGCAAAGGCGTAGAGGCTGCTCTTCCCGCAGCGCCGGAGACGTTGCAGTCTCAAAATAGATACAGAAACAGTGGTAATCAAACAAAAGAGTGACTTTCAATAAGTATTATTTGTTCAGTCGCAGAGTCTAAATGTAATTGCCCGGTTATTTTTAATACAAAAACTATTAAATATCTTGGAATAATTATGGATTCTACTTTTACATTTAAAAACCACATAGTCCACTTGTGCAATAGAGTACGTAAACTAATGTTTGTTTTTAAAAATATTCGTTCTTTATTTATATTAAGGGAGTGAAGCAAGTATATTTTTTTTTGTTTAAAAAAATACTAGTAATACTATTAAACATTACTAACATTCCCTTAAACCAATTCTGGTAAGCTTAAAATGCTTGTGTTAGAAGTGGTTCACGACAGTAGTCGAATGGCGGATATATATATTTCGTATTACGTCAATCAATATTCACCTATTGTATAACTTCATGGGGAAGAGCAGTTAAAACTATACTGCTACACATGGAACGCGCTCAAAGAGCTGTATTAAAAGTTGCAACATTCCATTCTATCCTCTTGCTGTCTTATCCATATATATAAATCTTATAATGTACTCTCAGTGCGTCAGTTATTTGTTATGAGTACATTACTACAATAAGACTTAAAATTGGCCTACAGAAGAGAGGTGATAAAAGATGCAAAGATAAAGTAATTGTAAGTTACATTAGATTAAGGTATCCTTTATTTTTTACATTCTTTGGTTCTTTTCTGTATAATAAAGTCAATGTAATTTTGTATATGAATTCATTAAAAATGGCAGATTATAAAAATGTACAAAATTGTCATATGACGATACGCAAAAGTTGCTGATTATTTTAAGTTAACTAAATTCATAAGTAAATTAATGATAATATATTTTATCGAATTAACCCTAATTAGTTGGTATGGTATTCATTTTATATAATGTAAAGTGAACGCATTTATTATTATCTATTATGTCAGATATAAGTGCATACAGGTGTATCCTAGTTCAGATGCTTGTTATTATAGACTATTTTAAATTAAGACAATATTTGAATTAATTGTACAGTTTATTGAATGTATGCGTGTGTGTGTGCGTGCGTGTGCGTGTGTGTGTGTGTGTGTGTGTGTGTGTGTGTGTGCGTGTGTGTGTGCGTGTGCGTGTGTGTGCGTGCGCTACTCACGCGGAAGGTGTAGTGCAGGCCGCGACGCAGCTGCAGGTCGGGCGCCAGCTGCCCGTTCACGTACCAGGCGAGCGCGGGCCCGCTCCCCCCGCGCCCCGCCAGCCCGCGCGCCCCTCCGGCCGGGCCGAGCGCGAAGCGGAACACGCGCAGCGCCGGGTCGAACAGCTCGGCGCGCTCCCACGCGCGCACACCCGCGCGCTCCCCGCTGCACATGACAAGCGACCACACAACCCACATCATGCTCACTGAATACTGTAGCCCTTACACTGCACATACGTTAAACCTAGGGACTAAGTTAGAACTGTGTTTCCAGCAAAATTTTTTTTTAATAAAATAAGGGTAACAAACGAGTACACTGTCGACCTGATGATTAATAGATGTCGATAACCCTTAGACTTCTACATCTATTCTCGGTTAAGAATCAAAATGCATTCGTTGTCACTCCTTAGAACTTAAAATCGTTGGAAATTGGAATGCTTCGTTTCAAGTAAAAACTTTCTATATTATGTTAGTTGTAACACGAATAGATAGAAACCGAGGGAAGATCACATTCTTACAGAATACCAGCGTCAAATAGCAGCTTGATGCTGCTATTTCGTATGATTAGCATAAAGAACCGTAGGCCGTACTGGATACAAAGCATTTCACCTTAATCATCAGGGGTGACAACGACAATGCATATTGATTCTTAATCGAGGACAAAATGTAGATAGATATATAAATTTTATCCTCGATGGTAAGTAGATACTATGGCCGCGATAGTAATAATGGTATGTGATTGGAATATATGCTCGTTTGCCACCTTTTCTACAAAAAAAAAACCAAGGGATCAAAATAAGCTAATGATTTCTCTTACGTAATTCTACATACATAGTTCTTGAAAAATTTTGTTTATCGATTCAGTTTTAAATGAGGAAACAAGGGATAATGAATACAAGATGATGACTTCGTCAATTTTTCATAAGTATAATCAAACTGAGCTGCAATTTAAATTTAAATAAGTTCTACAAATTTCTTGTCTCCCAGATATTCCGTTAGGATAGATCTATTAAAAACCTATTCTTCAAATTTCATATCTCCCAAATAGCTTATTAAGGTATTATACATAAAACATATTGGTCGATTAATTATCACACAAGATAATAATTATAATTGATCAAAACATAATATCAGCCTATGAGGCATATAAGCTTATATGTTTTGATTGCTTAACCTAATAGCTGACTTTTTTTTATAGGAGAGGGGGCAAACGAGCATGCGGCTCACCTGATGGTAAGTGACTACCGCCGCCCATGAACAACCGCAACACCAGAAGAATTGCAGATGCGTTGCCGGCCTTTTAAAAAGGAGTAGGCTCTTTTCTTGAAGGTCCCTAAGTCGTATCGGTCCGGAAAAATCGCTGATGGTAATCGATTCCACAAGGAAGTCGCTCGAGGAAGAAAACATCTTCTAAATCGCAGTGGTGGACCGCCAATCATCCAGATGGTGTGGATGGTATCGGGAGTTCTGTCGCGATGTGCGTTCGTGAAATTTGGCGGCTGGGATTAATCCGAACAATTCCGAACTGATGATGAGAGAGAGCCTTCAAGCATTAAGTCAGTGTTAACTATTTTATGAATAAAAATATAAGTAAATGTTCGCGCCAAACGCTGTTTCGGAATCGATGTCAGAGGGCGCGCGGCTCGGTGCCATACCGGTTTGACATTCGGTCGTGCGTAGAACGCACAAGCGCAGCGAGTCGTCTGCCAGCTGTGATAACGCCAGCACGCTGTCAATTTTGTTCGGGAACTCGGAATAATTAGGCGCGGATAGTAAACATTCTGTCTAGGATTTGTGACGCGCATTCCTTGCTGGAGAGCTTCCCAGGGACTCATTGTGTCGGACTCAGAATCTGTATAAGTGCATTCGACAATATTAGCTAAAGCGGCCTTTGATAGTCTAGAAATAACTGTTACTACGCGAAGCGGTAGTGACCTTTGATCCGGACACCCCCTGTTCATTTTGGGTGTTAGGCTTTATAACAAGCGAGAGTTAGTGGCTTCTGTAAGTTAGTTAATAGTACGATAGAGTTAATGGACTGTCATCGTGACGAACGAGGAAAGTGACTGTGGACGGCGCCGCGGAAAATTACCTCAATTTGGAGCGGTGCTGACGCCCGAGCTGCTGCCGACGGCCAAGGTCTACTAAGGTCAATCACCATCAGTCACACCCAGATACACATCACAGCACCTTATTTCCCTTGCACTACACAACCACATGCGACCTGACCGACTCCGGAGGGAACAGTCGCCTTGGATATAGGTAAGTAAGCTCCGTCTAATATTCTCCCTGTTGAATGGCCGTAGTATAGAACGCTCCACCATATAATTTAGTGTAACTAGAGATTTTCCACTTTGGCCTTAGGAGGCCCGACCTACGTCTGCTCGTCGAAACTCAGCTGAATTTTAACCCTGAGGATTTGACCTTTATGGGAGCAGCCGTAGGCCGTAACAGTAAATAAATAAGCCAATCACTCACATGACAAAATCAAAGCAGTCGTTCTCGGGGGGATTCTCCATCAGTTTCACCACGACATCCGAGCGGTGATAGAGCCTGTGGTAGGAGGGTTCACCCTCGTGGTCCAAAGAACCGATGGCCCACACGACGTACTGTGGACCTTCGGTGTTCCACGCACGGTCCATTGCCTCGTCTGCAATACACAAAGGATAAGAAGGTTAATATTTAGCTTAAAAAACGTGACAAACGAGCATATAGTCCGCCTGATGGTAAGTTGATGATATGGCCTATAAACAGCTATATTTATTGCCACTTCTCTGATCAAATACAGCAAGGTCATGCTGATATTATATCAGCATATAGTACGCAGATACTCTGTAATCCCCCATTAGTGCTGCAGCCAAAATACGCTTGCTTCATACTATGACTCATTACAAAAAATATTCTTTAAAGAAGCTTACTTCGAACAATTATTTCTTATATTTATGCGAACACTAACGACACTAGAAACACTAGCGACACTAGCAACACTAGCGACACTCACCCGGCTGCAGACTGCGCCGGTAGGTGAGCAGGGTGAGCCCGTCCTCCCTGCTGGCGCTGAACAACTGGTGGTTGTTGAGGCCGCCGCTGCATTCGTCGACACTAGCGACACTAGCAACACTAGCGACACTCACCCGGTTGCAGACTGCGCCGGTAGGTGAGCAGGGTGAGCCCGTCCTCCCTGCTGGCGCTGAACAACTGGTGGTTGTTGAGGCCGCCGCTGCATTCGTCGACACTAGCGACACTAGCAACACTAGCGACACTCACCCGGCTGCAGACTGCGCCGGTAGGTGAGCAGGGTGAGCCCGTCCTCCCTGCTGGCGCTGAACAACTGGTGGTTGTTGAGGCCGCCGCTGCATTCGTCGACACTAGCAACACTAGCAACACTAGCGACACTCACCCGGTTGCAGACTGCGCCGGTAGGTGAGCAGGGTGAGCCCGTCCTCCCTGCTGGCGCTGAACAACTGGTGGTTGTTGAGGCCGCCGCTGCATTCGTCGACACTAGCGACACTAGCAACACTAGCGACACTCACCCGGCTGCAGACTGCGCCGGTAGGTGAGCAGGGTGAGCCCGTCCTCCCTGCTGGCGCTGAACAACTGGTGGTTGTTGAGGCCGCCGCTGCATTCGTCGACACTAGCGACACTAGCAACACTAGCGACACTCACCCGGCTGCAGACTGCGCCGGTAGGTGAGCAGGGTGAGCCCGTCCTCCCTGCTGGCGCTGAACAACTGGTGGTTGTTGAGGCCGCCGCTGCATTCGTCGACACTAGCGACACTAGCAACACTAGCGACACTCACCCGGCTGCAGACTGCGCCGGTAGGTGAGCAGGGTGAGCCCGTCCTCCCTGCTGGCGCTGAACAACTGGTGGTTGTTAAGGCCGCCGCTGCGTTCGTCGTGGCACACGCCCACCCACTGTCCCAGTACTCGTACGCACTATACGAATGTATCAAACGATTTCTTTACTGTAGTTTCTATCTATCTTCTTTGGATCATGGTCTGTTAAGTACATGTTTATTAAAAACACAAGCAAGATTTTATGAAGATTAATTTTTCTACTCTAAGGAATATCCTTACTTTGGTTTATCCGCTTTTAGTCCATTAAATATAAAATATAACTAATATTTTAGAAAGTAAAATTAATATTTACACTTTTCTAAAAAAAATATTTTCCTTGCTAGAAAATCTGTCAACGATTTCACGTCATTCCTAAGTGGCCGCCCTGGTGGAAAAAAAGTCGTGGATGCATATCATTTTAAAAAAATCGTTTAGAGTAATCATTAAATTGTTAGTTTCAATATAATGGTAATTGCGTTGGTACATTAAAATAAGTTAAAATAGTTAACTTATTCACATGCAATCGTTATTAAACACGCACATTGATTATCAGTAATTTTAAAGTTTTACGTTTGGTAAGCAAACTGATTTTGCTTACTTTTAGATATAGAAACGAAACACATAAATATTGTTCATTTACAATCATTGAAAGTATATAGAGAGGCTTCAGACATAACTGAGTGTGAAATTAAAATATAGTTTGGTTGATTAATGAAAATTCATGTAATGCATTTGATTCTCTTGATCTCGGCCTGAGATGATTTTATCTTTTACAACATCCACTAACTTATATTTTCTTAATATTTCGTCATATATCGGTACTACTTTAAGAAAAGAAATAAAAATAAAAGGAATAACTAAAGAGGTTATTAATATCGTATTCGACAATAAGGGTGTGCCACTAGGTTGCATTCAAGGTCTTTCTTTATTATTTATATATAGCAGAGACGTTGAGTATATGCATATATGCAAGTGCACCAATGCGCTCATAAACGCTCTAATTAAAATAACATCCTGATTAAACAATTATTATCAATATAAACACAAATTATATTTATCATGGGAAACAATAAAGCAATTAAGTTTTTCTTCTTGTCAAAATACTACTCTCTAGCCAATTTTCGTGAAATTATTTATTTAATTTTATATTTTTTAATTTCTATGACAAGCAAATAAACGTAAACAAAGAAAATAGTTCTCACCGGTGCGAGAGCAGTAATATTATAATCGCCGGCGACTCCCTGCTGAAGCGTGGTGTTGAAGTAAGCGACCGCCACGTCCGCTCCTAACATCTGCGAACGCGTGTCGTTACCAGATATCCCGAACGCCATGTAGTCGTTTGGGCCAATCTAGGATTTTGGTCAACGATATCAATTTTAGAAATAATTTCATATTAGATACAGTATTCATTAGTATTTACACTACTCTGTACATGTGTTACACTCACCTGTGCAGCGAGCTGTATAGTTATTTGGTTTCCGAATACTTCCCATGAGACTTGATAATCTCTGTGTAGTTGTTTGCAATGCGGTAGTTTAGATCTGAAACCGAAATACTTTTAGGTAAAAATTAAGCGCTACGCCAGTAGACTGTACAATTTACAATAACAATAAGATTTGGTTCACGTACATATCAAATTAAATTTAAAATATGTATTGTAAGTTAAGTGTTATACTGTTGTTTTTTTTAAAATAATATTTATAATATGACGTATAATTTTCTATATAATGTAGTAAGAGATTGTGTGGTTTAAAAAGTAAAAGAAAACACGGGTGTATACGAGCATGGCGGGCGGTATGTTGAACGCGGTGGGCATCGCAGTATGTGTGTGTGTGTGTGTGTGTGTGTCAAGACCGGTGCGGGTGTGTGCCAAGCGTAGCGCGCGGAACGTTGTGTGTGTGTGTGTGTTGTGTGTGCTGGCAGGTCACTGACCGATGCGGGTGTATGACGAGCGTAGCGGGCGGCACGTTGAGCATCGCAGTGTATGTGTGTGTATGTGCGTGTGTGTGTGTGCGTGTGTGTGTGTGCGCGTGTGTGTGTGCGTGTGTGTGTGCGTGTGTGCGTGGGCGTGTGTGTGTGTGTGTGTGCGTGTGTGGGCTCGTGTGTGTGTGTGTGTGTGTGTGCGTGTGTGTGCTGGCATGTCACTGACCGGTGCGGGTGTATGACGAGCGTGATGGGCGGCACGTTGAGTGCGGTGGGTATCGCAGTGTATGTGTGTGCGTGTGTGTGCTGGCATGTCACTGACCGGTGCGGGTGTATGACGAGCGTGGTGGGCGGCACGTTGAGTGCGGTTGGTATCGCAGTGTATGTGTGTGTGTGTGTGTGTGTGTGTGTGTGTGTGTGTGTGTGTGTGTGTGTGTGTATGTGTGTGCTGGCAGGCCAGTGACCGGTGTGGGTGTATTACGAGCATGGTGGGCGGCACGTTGAGTGCGGTGGGTATCGCAGTGTATGTGTGTGTGTGTGTGTTTGTGTGTATGTGTGTGCTAGCAGGTCACTGACCGCTGCGGGTGTATGACGAGCGTGGTGGGCGGCACCTTGTGTGCGGTGGGTATTGCAGTGTATGTGTGTGTGTGTGTGTGTGTGTGTGTGTGTGTGTGTGTTTGTGTGTGCTGGCAGGTCACTGACCGGTGCGGGTGTATGACGAGCGTGGTGGGCGGCACGTCGAGTGCGGTGGTCATTGCAGTGTATGTGTGTATGTGTGTGTGTGTGTGTTTGTGTGTATGTGTGTGCTGGCAGGTCACTGACCGGTGCGGGTGTATGATGAGCGTGGTGGGCGGCACGTCGAGTGCGGTGGTCATTGCAGTGTATGTGTGTATGTGTGTGTGTGTATGTTTGTGTGTATGTGTGTGCTGGCAGGTCACTGACCGGTGCGGGTGTATGACGAGCGTGGCGGGCGGCACGTTGAGCCCGGCGGGCAGCAGCACGGAGGCGAGCGCGGTCTTCTCTCGCGCGTCCCACACGGCGACCCAGTCTACCTCGAACACTGTTCGTCCGCCCGGCAACTCCAGTTGGACGTCCTCGCCGTTATACGCGCGTAGCGGTTCTAGACTGAGTATTTTTTGGTTTTCTATCTTAGCCTAAATATACTTTTATTCAAAGTAATAAAGTGCATTTTTACTTTTTAAGGAGCTGATGATGGCGATGAGAAAAATAGTTGACAGTCCTGAGCACCACATAGACAATTAACATAGCAGTCAGCTTGTAGCGTGTCAATATATAAAATGGCATATTCTCACCACCAGTGGTAGAGTCACGCGGCAGCTTTTGCTGTCGCATGGATGGGCCGGCTCGAACCGGGGTAGTACCACGACCTCACAGAAAACCAGCGTGAAGTAGAGGTTTACCTCTGCGTTTCGCTTGGTGAGTGCAGGTGGCCGGAGGCCCTTTTTACTGGAAATGAGGCATTCCATCTTAGTCCTCACGGGTGACAACGCATCTACATTTTGATTTGTAACAGAGGATAGATGTAGATGTCTATGGGCCGCAGCAACCACTTACCATCAGGTGGACTGTGTGCTCGTTTGTCACCCTTATCCTATAAAAAAAAAACCAGATACTCCACCGTGATTTCTAACGTAGTTAGTGATAACATTTCTGACAACCTATTGGGCATGCGTTTCAATGGAGTCATCATTATTAGAATGTAAATAGCTGTTATTCTCCAAACTAGGATTAATGTAATCTTTGTTTCGAACTTACTTTAAAAATTTCGGTTTTCGGAGTCTCTAGTCTTGTCTTTATTTTATTTTAACAAGTCTTTGTAAATCCACCGCTGAACACGACCTAGGGGATGCTTTGAATATTTTATTGTGTTTGGGGTGTAAGGGAGAATATGCCAACATCTCTAGCGGCAGACTAATAGTGAAACAACCATGCAAAAACACTGAATATAAATTTCGAAAACTAGAGATGAGGTGCGGCTTTATTTGTTTCAGAGTATTGGCCCTGTGATCATCAAATCGTCGCTTATATGGCAAATCCACGCTTTTAATAAAAATGTCCGATATTAATAAATATTATTAACATTTGAAAAAAAAAAACAAATTCTCACTAAAATTATTTTATACTATATCTAATATTTTGATACTCACTATCCATATTCGTTGGGTATGATGGTACCTCTAGAAGAAGGTTGCGGACCAACCCCAGTCCAGAAGTACACTTCTTCTCCGCTGCCGTCGTATCGGAATTCCGGAATGCTGTTAAATAGTGTAACAAACTATATATTAGTAATAAATAAAACATAAAGTATAAGATTTTGCCATTATGTATGTGTGTACACATTCCGAAAATAGAATATGAAATAAGAATTGTGAAGATTAGAAAATTAAGTAACTGAAATTTAATATAGAATAGGAATAAGGGTGGTACAAAGATGTTGCCCTATGGTACCTACTTAATCCATAAGACGTGGTTTTACTTTTCTTCTATTTTAGTTGCCAAATGAAGTCGAAAGCTTTATATATGTCAACATAAATGTTACAATAATTAACTCTTTGAAATTACAATACTATTTGATAATGATGATAATCCAAAAGATATTATAGGGTCAAGCGTGCTTTTTTGAGATAAGCCCAATCTTAGGAATCAAGGCCCAACGTAACCATTTTTTGCCATTTTTTAAGGTATAAGTGTCAAAGACATGATCACAATTTTCAACAGACGCGATATTTTTATATGTTTCACTACTTATGAGCATTTTAACAAGATTTTACTTTAAGTAAACTAAGAAATCTACAAGAGGGGTGTTGTGTGTGTGAGTGAAAGAGAGTAGCACTTACACGAAGGTGCATGCATCCAGGAAACGGACGGGCTTGCTGGAGATCGAGACTCCAGGCGCAGCCGCCATCGCTCCTACGTTACGCGGTGAAGGAGCCTCGAAGTCGTCGGGTACGTAAACATCACCGAATGCATTCTGAGTGTTCACGTCGTAAACGGCCAGCCATTTAATACGCGATATACGCTTCCCCTCTGGCAACCGTAATCGAACATCCGCATTGTTGTAACGCTCTAAGATGTTTGTCCTGGCAGGTTAATTGAAAGATAAAAGTGTGGTAAACCATCCAAAAATGTTAAACCTTAATATAATACTGGTAATAGAATATACTGTGAGAGTATAGCTAAGCGGTCCAAACTTAGCCTGACCAGCTTGGTGACTGTACAAATCTTCCAAGAACTGTGATGGTACACTCTTAGATAGACCATGTATAGTAATAATAAATACTTATATTTCTCAAAAAATTATTATACATGTTTTTGAGACGCCCCAGAGACTAATTTCCATTCTCTTATTGGGGATGCCTCGCTCTTCAACCCATTTTACAGTTTTTAAGACTTAAAAGTACTTACATAATTAATAAAGAAAACGTTTATTACAAAAAAGAAAGTTAAGCTAAGCTAAATAAACTTTACTTGTGTGTGTGTGTGTGTGTGTGTGTGTGTGTGTGTGTGTGTGTGTGTGTGTGTGTGTGCGAGAGAGAGAGAGAGAATGTGAGAGAGCGAGAGTATGTATGTGTATGTAAGTTGACGTGTGTGTGTGTATCCCTCTACTCAGAGGTTGTGTAAGTGTGGGTATGTGTGTAAGCCTAATTTATGATGTATGGAACTTACACAATTGTATCTATGAGTTTCTCTGTTTCATCATAACTTAAATCTGATAAGAAATTAGTTAATATCCTTTTACATTCATATAACTTTTCAGGGAATATTTTTAGTTTTATAGTGATGGATTTAGTCTTTTTCACTTTTGTAGTCAAACACTTTTTTTTCTTCTTTTTTTTTCAGAACTGAAGTAATAAACGAACTTACAGACCATCTGGCAGTAAGTGACTACTGCTGTCCACAGACAGCTAACTTCAAACAAAGATGGCTACAGATGCGCTGGCACTTTTTAGAACCAAAATAGAATGCCCAAAGTCTGTAATTATACGGGCTCTCTCTATTATTTAGACAAGAACAAAGAAGCACAAGCACTGATATTTGGCGACAAGAATATATAATACATAATATAAGAAGGTGGTACCTACAAGTACCTACTCAGACAGACCTAGGCAGAAAATTAGTTCTACCGCCTAGTAAACTTTCAATGAGAATGATGATCAAAAAATTCAAGTATTTATTAATATCCTACAGCATCATCAGTGAATCTCAGTATTTAACAAGAGAAATTACGACTTTCAGAGTTTGCAGTCCGCTTCGTTAACTACTAGGCTACTGTCACTAGTGAATTCAACATTTATTACCAATCAGCCTTATATGCATTTATTATTACTGCAATGATTATCCAAATATGCCCTATTACGGAAAGAGTCTACAAAGCAGTTAACGGCTATGGGAATGCAATTCAGCTGGAGCATTTTTATAAAAGCCTTTGTTTATTAAAAAAGACTTATTTTATTTTATTCAGAACAATAAACAATTACATAATAAGGCTTGAATTAAATAACAATTTATAAATAACATAAATAATTATGTAACCAGCACTGTTATCCACAAAGTATCATTAAATTAGTATGATATGGAGTAAACAGAGTTTAAGCAAAAAAAAAAACTAATAAAAATTGACAAAACTGCAACATGAAAATGTCAAAAAGAGTCCAAAGGCAAAAAAAAGCAATAACCAATCCGACTTGTGAAATATTTTGAATACTACTGAATGGCTAACATTCGATGTAGATGAAGTAGTGGTATACAGTTATACCTGTGGAAAATAATAAAAAACCTACTTACTTGCCATACTCATCAGGTATGATAAAGCCTTGTGGGCCGGGACGGCCTGAGTCTCCTGCCCAAAAGAATGTATCGTCTCCAGTACCATCATAGTTAAAGTTTATGAGTAGAACTGTCCAATCGTCTATAGCATACACATCACCAGACACCTGTAAATTGAAAAATCATACCAACTTCAAAAATTGTCTAACTTATAAAACTGTTTGAATTAAGTAGATTGATGAAAGAGAAACTATTTTAAGCACAGAATTACTGCAATAAATTCAAATTTGTATCAAGAACTTTGTTTCTATACAGCTAATATTTAATTTAAAAGAAATTAAAATTCTGATCATTTGTATGAACATCATGAACAACAATCATGAAAATATTGATATAAGTCATTAATCTAAACATAACTTCTCATGCCCATAAAGGCCTGTTTTCACTTTGATTAGTGATTAGTACAGTTGCTTAGTGTTTAGGAGTAAACACGTGTGGACAGCGATTGATTAGTGCAAGTGATTAATACCTGTGCAGTAGTGATTAGGAACATGTTCTATTTTTTTGCGAGTGGACTGCGAGTGTCACGCCCCGCGCGCCCTTCCTTTCCCCTCACTCGCAGCATGCCTGCCACTAAACATGTTTGGACAGCAGTGCTAAGTGTTTAGCGTCGGACGCTCGCTTCTGTTAAAAAAATGTCCATACTTCCCAGTCGACTGCTAACAACTGAATTTATTGAACACATCCACTAATCAGAATTGGACACTACTTACACTACACACCTGCACTAATCAACCGCAATTACTAATCACCTGCACTCGCACTAATCAAAATGAAAACAGGCCTTTATTTCAAGCAGACACTATGGACTTCCATTTGGGACAATTCTAACAGCCCTCTATCGCTTCTTTCATATCCATATATCTACAAGTATATGCTTGTTGGTTAAGTGTACTTTTAACTTGGCCCATTTTCAATCATCACATCATCATCATGTTTATTTTCTTCACTTTTATACATAAACTTTGAAAATTCATTTCATACTGCCAATAATTTATATTTATTTCTATTTATTTCTCCATGTGAGTGGATTTATAAGTTTGAGAAATAAAAATCATTACATGTTTACATACAACTTGTAAGTTGTATAGTAATATAACAATTTAAGATTAATACCTTTTACCTTTACCTGACATTCCAGTAATCTGAGTAAGATGGTTTCAAAAATGGAATTAAAATACATCATTGAATAAAATGATTCATGTTGAGAGTTGCGAAACTTTTAGAAAACGGTTTTAAAATAAAATTTACCTGATGATGATATGAATTCAGCTTGCCTATGAATTTTCCTTGATAGGGTCCTCCGTCATCTTGAGAAGAGCAGTCTGCAACAATTATATTCTCATATAGTAGTGTTGGAAACTTCATTTCATTCTTAGAGAAAGTTTCTACGGTTAAATAAAGTCACACGATTATTCAATTGTATACCTTGAGCTATAAATACCAGCAATGCAAACCATATTATAAACATTTTACTATTAATTCTTTTAATTTTTAATCATAACATAATAACTTTTCTTTCACAAATTCAATCTTTACTTGTTACAAACTTGATTTAAACTTCCTGTTTGCATAACTTAGACTTGTCATTGTCAGACAGTACAGTACCTACTTGTCAGATCAGGATCACTAATCAAATGTCACTAAGTTTACATTCTCAATTGTGTTGACTTAAGCAAGGTCATGTCTCTGATTGGTTAAATACACCTTTGCTTAAAATATCCACCAATCCCCTTTAACAAACTTTCACTTTTACTTAGTTTAAAATTACTTTGTAAATGAAAACAAACATATTAAGTGTTCACCGCTTAAAATTTAATTTTAGCCTTATTAATATTTTTATTTATTTTAAATATTATCAATAAACATTTTGATATTTTGATAATGCGCCGCGTGATGCCACCCTCATCGTAGGTTAATTCATCCCATTAAGTTCTGTGGATCATTATCATCATCTTCATAATCTTTATAGCCCTTCACAAGTCCACTGCTGAACATAGTCCTCCATCAAGGAATGCCACAAGGCACGGTTCTGAGCCACACGCATCCATCGACCTTTTGCACATCTTAATAGGTCTCGTCCCTCCATCTAGTGCGGGGCCGCCCCACACTTCGCCTACCGGTACGAGGCTGCCACTCGAGATAATAATAATAATAATACTCATGGCTTCCGTTAGATAAGGCACTCATTTTATTCAGTCGTCATTTTTACGGACTGATGAAGAAGAACAAGTTATAGTTATAATTAACTCAAGCTAAAAAGAAGAAATAATGATTAAATACTTTTGTATTTAACCATTAACATCTATAGTTAACAGTATATGGCAACGTCGACGTTTTATTCTTTATATGAAACACGTAGAGAGAGATACTCCCTCTACGGTCAAACACAAATGAGGGCTAATAATTTTCCACTCACCAGATGTCTCTAGTCGTGACTGAGGTAAAGTTTTTTGTTACACAATGTCAGTTAATTGAGAAATTAATTTTAAATAATAGTTTATCATTATCTAGAACATTATATTAATACACAACATAATGTGTCAGTCGTTTTATTTTAAATTTTTCGCACTTTATAACTTTTAAAAAAAATCTACTTTTAGTTACATTTACATAGTTTGGTTTATTCATTTCTAATATAATTAATATAACATATAATAAATAATACGGAAAGAGTCATTAATGTTAATATTTTCCTAAGAAATTATCGTCCCCGCTATGAAAGCTGTCAAATATTTCACCTCATTGTAAAGTGGCGCCGCCCTGGTGGTAGAAAAAGTCGTGGATTATCCCTCATTGAAACTCTGGGACAAAGTGTATATAATCTCTACGTTTTAATATAGGATTCGTTAGCAGGTATATTTATATACAAACTTAATACTAATTTTATATTAAAGTTGGTAAAAATTATCTTGCGTAAATCCGCTCGATAAAATAAAATAATGTGTCTTACCTAGTTTCAAGAGCACCTCCCGCCCTCCCTCTATTGCGTGCACTGTCCCCGTCGCCACTAATCCCAGCACCACTACTACCAACACCACTAAACTAGGAAAGACACCACTGACGACAATACGACACGTGTTTCGCCTCTACACGAGGCATTTTCAGGTGTAGTAGACTATGCGGTGGCTGACCGCTAAGCTTGAGTAATTTTACCAACTTTAATGTAATGGATTTCCGTAAAGTAACGTCTGATTCTATTAACTACTAATTTAATATACAGTCATTATATAAAGTATATATTTTGTGTACTAAAACAAACTTACAAAAAATATAAAATAACTAGCGATCCGCCCCGGCTTTGCATGGGTGATTTCTGAATCTCTATAATAGTTTAGTTCGTGAATTTCGGGATTTTTGTGGTCAATAAGGACCAAGGAACGAATACAGGGTTATTTTTTAAAGAGTAGCCAAATACTAAACTTAAGTTCAAACATATAAATAGTGATATACCGTTATTGCAGTTTTTGAAAATACAAGTAAATAAGGCTTCTACTTTTTATTTGAAACTAGCTGTTCTCCGCGACTTCGCCCCCGTGTAATTAAGGGTTTTAATTATGTTGCGCGGAACCCTAATTCCTTTCCGAAAATATGAGTAACCTAAGTTACTCCTTATAACATCAGCTATCTGCCAGTGAAAATCCCGTCGAAATCGGTCCAGCCGTTTCGGAGATTAGCGGGAACTAACAGACAGACAGAGAGACAAAAATTTTAAAAATTGTGTTTTTGTTATAAATACCGTATATACTTTCATATTCATTTAATAAAAAGCTGGTATTTTGACATTACAAACAGACACTTCAATTTTATTTATTTGTATAGATTATCCAAAATTAAATGTGATTTATGGGCGTTACGATTTTACTTTTTTTTTTTATAGGAGAGGGGGCAAACGAGCATGCGGCTCACCTGATGGTAAGTGACTACCGCCGCCCATGAACAACCGCAACACCAGGGGAATTGCAGATGCGTTGCCGGCCTTTTAAAAAGGAGTAGGCTCTTTTCTTGAAGGTCCCTAAGTCGTATCGGTCCGGAAAAATCGCTGGTGGTAAACTATTCCACAAGGAAGTTGTGCGAGGAAGAAAACATCTTCTAAATCGCACAGTGGTGGACCGCCAATCATCCAGATGTTGTGGATGGTATCGGGAGTTCTGCCGCGATGTGCTTTACTTTGGGGGTCATTGTAGAAGCGTGCTCGTTGCGACCCCTGCCAACCCTTTTCAGGGCTGCAATTCTACACAGCTGCGCACCCATGCCAACGAGGGTTAGGGCGTCCCCCCAAGGCGACGCACACCAGCTCGTCCCCGTTGGTGTGGAATGCAGCGCGCAAAGCGATGGGGACCGCCACCCGTCACGCACAGCCCGACACGGCGTAAGGTGGAGGACAGAGTGCAGAGTTGGCACGTGGAATTTTAGAGGAGGCATGAGAGAAGACGAATGAGTTGATCGAAATAATGAAAGAAAGATATTTAGGTGTAGTGTGTATGTCGGAGACCAAACGGAAGGGCAGTGGTACTGAAGAGCTCCCTGGCGGGGCGTTAGCTCTATGGTCCGGAGTCCCGGAGAGCGAGAGCACTTGCCAGGGAGTGGGAGTGCTGATGTCGTCTCGGTTGGTCGATGTTATGACTGAATATAAGGTTGTGAACTCAAGACTTCTCTGGGTTTGCTTTAAATTGGGATTGACGAAGTTATTCCTTTTGGCTGTTTATGCACCGGTAGCTTCGTCGTCTAGGGCTGAGCTGGAGGAGTTTTGGGAGAATGTAAGAGAAGTTCTAGATTTGGTTAGGGGAAACGAAAGAATTGTTGTATGTGGTGATTTGAATGGATGGGTTGGTACCTCTCGACCAGGGTACGAGTCGGTGCTTGGAAAGTTTGGCGATAAAAGGGTTAATGATGCTGGCAAACTTATACTGGCGGTATGCAAGGAAAAGTGTCTTCTTGTGACAAACACTATGTTTAATCACAAGAAAATCCATATTTATACTAGAGAAAGAAAGAATGAGAGAAGTATGATCGATTTGTTCCTGGTGGATGACCGACTGCGAAAACAGATGATGGATACGCGAGTGTTCAGGGGTGCTGACCTGGGAACGGATCACTATCTAGTGATTACTCGATTTAGGGGTCTGTTCGCGGGTTGGCGCTACCGGAAGGCAGTAACAGAACCACAGTCGGTCTGTCGCATCCGAAGCTGGAAGCTTCAGGAAGCGGATACTAGGGACAAATATCATGCGAGGGTAGCCGAAAAGCTTGACACCATCGATGGCAGAAAATAATGTGTGGAAAGAACATGGCAGAACCTTAGGGATGGAATGGTGAGTGCAGCGGAAGAGGTGTGTGGAACGATAAAAAGAGGTAGTAGTAAAAGAAGAGATGCATGGTGGAATGATGAAGTGAAAGAAGCTGTAAAGAAGAAGAAGCAAGCAATAGACTACTTGGCCTCTAGTAATAATAAGGATATGAGAGAGAAGGTGAAAGAAAGATATAAGCTGCAGAAAGTTTACACGAAAGCATTGAGGAAGTGCGTGAAAGGTGTAGAATGGAAGCGGACAAAAGGTTGTCGCACAACTATAAGGAGAACTCCAAACTCTTCTGGAGAGAGGTTGGAAGGACCCGAAGTGGTGCGACGGCCTTAATAATGAACAAAGTGCTTTCGAGAACCAATGACGTCCTCTCAGAAAAATCGGACGTCATGCAGCGATGGAGCGAATTTTATAGAGAAATGTATGCGTGTGATGATCTTAGTGAGGGATCCGGGGGTGACGCCGTGGCTGGTACGCCAGACCCGGACCTCAATGACACTAAGGTCATCAGTATGAAAGAGATTGAACGTGCGATTCGAAGTTTGAAATGTGGTAAGGCTGCGGGACTAGACAGAGTTACTGCTGAAATGGTCAAGAATGGTGGGCCTCGCGTCTGGGACAGCTTTCATCTGCTGTGCAATTTGTGCTGGCGGACAGGGGATGTCCCGGATGATTGGCGATCCGCAGTCATTGTGCCTTTATATAAAGGTAAAGGTTCACATTTGGACTGCGGGTGCTATCGGGCGATCAGCTTGACCAGTTTAGCACTAGGTTCTACTCGAAGGTTTTGACACGTAGGATGCAAGAGAAATCGGAAAGATTTCTATGGGAGGCACAATGTGGATTTAGACCTGGAAGAGAATGCACGGATCAAATGTTTTCTCTCCGCATGATCACGGAAAAGCTTCTGGATGCTAACCAGAAAATTTTCTGTGCTTTTGTGGATCTTGAGAAAGCATTTGATAAGGTTGTGAGGAAGAAAATGTGGGAACTGTTGCCGAGGTATGGTGTGGATGGTCAATTGCTAAGGACTGTGCAGTCACTTTACTGTGACTGTAAAGGCTGTGTGCGGGTAGGGCATGACCTGTCACCCATGTTAAGCGTCCAAACAGGCGTAAAACAGGGTTGTGTCATGTCTTCCTGGCTGTTCATACTGTATCTCGACAGC